AGATTCATGACAACTAATCGATGGGCCCAAAACCCCAAAACCCCAAAACCCCATAATCATGAATTTGAATGATAATTGACATATTTAAGAATAATTGTGATTATATTAAATATTATAAACGTTAGGAGCAAAGTCCAATTATATTGGTGGAATTGCTTAAGAATTAATTATTATAAATGCTAATTATTGAAAGAAAGATGGCATCTTCTTATAAGATGCTTTATCTATTATTTTACATAACAATCACTACATTATACTTTTTGGAGATAGTCAATTCCACTGTGACTACCTCCATTGACTCAAGTACTGGCAAGGTACTAGTTCAGTGGTCTGCACCTCCAAGCAATGGAGCCCCTATTTCCTCATACTTGATCGAAATCTAAGATGTTAATGCTGGATGGCAATCTGAGCCAATCATGTGCAATGGAAATAACTTGGCAGTAGTGGGCTAACGACAATGCCTCATACCTATGCAGACCCTAACTGGTTCTTAGTTCGGACTTACCTTCGATACATTGATTCAAGTCAGAGTTGCTGCTGCAAACAGTAAAGGAACGGGACCTTGGTCATCACTTTTAACCTTAGGAGCTAAAGTGAGGACTATTCCATAGGCAGTTGCCAATCCAACGAGAGGCACTGCTACAAATGAATTCCAGATTCAAGTTAACTGGGCTGCGCAAGTGCCTGGTATTGCAACTGGTAATTCAGATATACTTTCCTACGAACTTTACTGGGATAGCGGCAATTCTGGGGCAGGCACCACCATTGAAATAATCGAAGCCTAAACGACTACTTATACCATAGTGGGATTAATAGCAAGCAGAAGCTACACTTTCAAAGTCAGAGCCAAAAACATCTACGGCTATGGACCCTTTTCTAGCCCTTCTACAATAAAAACTACTGATAAACCTTATACAATGGACCCAGTCTCAACGGATACAAACGGCTTAAACATTGTACTATCCTGGAATCCTCCTCAAACAGGAGGAGAGGATATTGATTCCTATGAAATTAAGCTCTACATTCCATCTTCTGATACTTACGTGGTGGACACTGCTAATTGCAATGGAGCTGTAGACGCTATCAAGACTTCTCGTACTTGCACATTTGACATGGTTTACCTTAACACTCAATATTCCTTCCTCACAGGAGACATTTTATAAGGTATCGGCAGAGCTCATAACATTTATGGCTGGGGTGACTACTCAAAGATGAATGCTGTAGGAGCTTCTATAATAACCAAACCTACTAAGATGGAGAAACCTTCTCTAGGCTTAAATACGGATAAAGATACTCTACAAGTATCCTGGCAAGAACTCATCTATGATTATCAAACTGGAGGTTCAGCAATTACTTCCTATAATCTAGAACAATATAGTGGAGCGAATTGGAATGAAGTAGTTGGAAATACAACATCATTCCTTGGCTTATCAACCAATATTGAAGGAGTATCAGTAGGGACTACATACACATTCAGGATTAGAGCTAAAAACTACTTTGGCTTTGGACAATTTTCTGAATCAGCTCTGCTATCACCAATAGATGCTCCAGATAAAATGGCCAAGCTAAGAACCTCAATAGTTAACACTAATGTCAAGATAGCTTGGGATGCACCAGCAACCAACGGACTAGCTATATCTGAATATAAGATAATGATTTAGAACAATGATACCACAACGTATTCAACAGAGACCAGATACTGCGATGGAGCTGATGCCACTACAATCTCATTCAGCTACTGCTTCATTCCTATAAACATTCTTAGAGATCTGCCATTTTACCTGAAACAGGCCGATTTAGTTGTTGCAATAGCATAAGCTAAAAATGCTAAAGGTTTCAGCATTTTATCTGATCCAAACACATCTGGGGCATACATCATTACTGAGCCTCTACAAATGGATATTCCAACAAGAGGGACCAACACAAGTCCTAACAGATTAGATGTTAGATGGACTGCTATCTCATCATCACCATAGAATGGTGGAGTTGCAGTCTTAAGTTATAACTTGCAATGGGATAGCGGAACAAATGGTGGAGCCTGGACAAATCTACTAGGATTTGCTCCTCCCTCTCTAGCAACATCTCTTATCATTACTAACGGAGTTAGCTCTGGAAGTATGTACTAATTTAGAGTTAGAGCTTAAAATCTAATGGGCTGGGGATCATTTTCATCACCACTTTACATTAAGGCCGCTATGATTCCTCCACAGATGACCTTACCTAGAACTTCAGTAGATGTAACTTCAGGTCATTTTAAGATTGAATGGGATGCTTCAATCACTAATGGAGATTCTATTGACTAATATCTCATTGAAATTCAAACAAAGGCTGGAGCTTGGACTACTAATTCACTCTGTGATGGTTCATCATTAGTAATAATCGGGGCAAGATATTGCTTAATTCCAATGTCAATACTAAGAGACTCAGCGACTTTCAACTATGCTGTAAATAACTTAGTCTAAGTGAGAATTTCAGCTCATAACTCATTTGGCTGGGGAGATATCTCAACAACGCCTCTAACTGATGGAGGAAGAATAAGAACAGAGCCTGCTGCTATGACTAGTCCATTAGACAATGTGGTTTTAACTACGAGCAATCAGATAACATTAAATTGGGTAGCTTTATCAGGCTCAGCCACTGGATATTCAGCAATCTTGTCTTATAATTTAGTTTGGAATAGCGGGACAGGAGATCCTAGTATAACCTTAATTGATTCACTATTGCTATAATATACTGTTAAAGGCTTAACTGAGGGTCTTCCTTATAAATTTAAATTAAGAGCTAGAAACATATATGGTTATGGAGATTACTCTTCAGTTAATACCTTAATCCCCTCTGATATTCCAGGCAAGATGGAAATTCCTATAGTAGAGATTTCTAATATCAATGTCAAGATTGATTGGGAAGAACCTGATGACCATAGTGCAACAATAGATGAGTATGAAATCCTACTATAGAAGTTTGATGGATCCTTCGTTGAAGATACCACTAACTGCAATGGTGCAATCGCAGCTATTAGAGATGCTACTGTTTGTTTCATACCTATGACTTCAATCATAACCTTGACTCTACTTACCAGAGATTAGTTGATCCAAGTCAAAGTCAGAGCTCATAACATTAAGGGTTGGGGAGATTTCTCAGAACTAAATACAGGAACTGCATATGTAGAGACCACAGCCATAGCTCCAGTTGCTCCTACATTTGATCTCTCTTTGTCAGCAAACGATAGAGTCTATATCGAGTGGCAGTCACTCGTAGGATCAGCAACCGGAGGCTAGAGTGTGATAATTGATGCTTACGATTTATAATAGTATGAATCAGCTACTACTACCTGGTTTACTATATCAAATACTTCAAGTATAGCTTATCTCAAAACAGGATTGTCAGGAGGAAACACATACTACTTTAAAGTAAGAGCTTATAATAGGTATGGACCAGGAGTGTTCTCTCCAGTAGGCTCAGTATTCACATCTCAAGCTCCTAATAAGCCACTAGCCCCTACGCTTACAACTATAAGCAACAAAGTTTAAATATCATTCAAAGTTCCTGTTACTAACTATTCACCTATCTAGAAATATCGAATTCTAATAGCAGCAGTGAATGGAACTTTTATTGAGGACCCCAGTTTATGTGATGGTTCAGACTCTCAGACTATCTCAAATATGTATTGCATGATTACAATGGCCAATCTTCTCATTTCGCCTTTCTATCTGGAAAGAGATGATCCAATTGAAGCTAAAATATAAGCATATAACTCAAGAGGCTGGAGTGAAGAGTCAGACATTGGAACAGGTGTCACAATTTCAACTGAACCAGATCAGATGCTATTGCCTTTTAGAGGTTCTCAAACCTCAACAAACCAAATTCAGGTTTCTTGGAGTTCCTTATCAGCAAGAAGACTTGCAAGCTCAGGTGGATCGCCTGTCATTTCTTATAATCTCTAATGGGATGCTGGAACTAATGGAGCATCTTGGTACGATCTAGTAGGACTCTAACCAGCATATCTATCAACGAGCTATCTTGTAACAACAGGGATAGTCTCAGGATAATCTTATGAGTTTAGAGTTAGAGCAAAGAATATATTTGGATGGGGATCCTTCTCAGACCAGATAACCCTAAAAGCATCAACTGTGCCTGCATAAGTCGCAACTGTCACGACCTCTGTTGATTCATTAACAGGTGGGCTAAAGATCTCTTGGACAGCACCATTTGCAAATGGCGAAGCGATCGACTCTTATGTAATTGAAATCGCTGGATCAACAGCTTAAACTTTACCGTGGAAGAGAGATCTCGTAAATTGTCCAGGGGTTGATCCCAACATCCTCTATTGCATAATACCTATGCTCAACTTACAAACTGGAGATTTTTCATACCACATCAATGATATAGTATATGTTAAGGTTACAGCTCATAATTCAATGGGTGATAGCCCAGTCTCAACATCATAGTCAGGTAATGCTCGAGTAAGAGGTCTTCCAAAGAAGATGACAGATCCCTTTAGAGGATCATCTACAACTGACTATCAAATACAAGCACAATGGAATCCATTGACTGCAGATGAAGATATTGGCTATTCTCCTATACTTTCATATAATCTTTATTGGGATAATGGCAGTGGAACTGCAGATCTATAGGTTACTGATTCTCTAGTTTTGAATTATATAGTATTAGGTGTTGAAGGTGGAGAACCTTATATTTTCACAGTTAGAGCCAAAAATATCTATGGTTATGGACCCTTCTCTGATGAGATAACTATATTACCTTAGGATGTCCCCGATTAAGTTGATATCCCTTTAGTCCAAATATCTGGAACTAATGTTAATATAACTTGGTCTAAGCCATTTTTACGATATTCTGAATTAGATTAATATTAGGTTTAATTCTAAAAGTCTAATGGAGATTATTAATCACATTCTAATTGTGATGGAAGTCTACAAGCTATTAAAGAAACTAGAACCTGCTTGGTGGCAATGACTGATATTATCACCTTTACAGGCCTCACTGTGGACACTCTTATAAAAGTTAGGGTAAGGTCGAAAAATCAAATTGAATGGGGTCCATACTCTTAGGTTAATTAAGCTGGTGCGACTATTGAAATTAAACCTACTTAGATGGAAGCACCCACTTTCGCACTCTCTTCAAGTTCTAATAACAATCTACAAGTTCAATGGATAACTCTTCAAGGAGTCTAAAAAGGTGGGTCTGTAGTTGCTATAATATCATATGACTTGTTCTTCTATAACACTATTACTAGTGACTGGGATAAGATTTACTCAGGAACTGGTAGCTCATATAACCATCAATTGCTATCGGGGGGAGTCACTTATCAATATAAAGTCAGAGCCACAAACAAATATGGTAATGGACCTGATTCTTCAACATCAAGTGGCTTTACTGCTCAGCCACCTTCAATTCCAACTACTCCAGAGGTCACCATTGAAGGAATATTTATTAAAATTAAATGGTATGCTCCTAATAATAATAATTTACCAATTACAGCCTACAGAATAAAGATTAAAGATAATACTAATAATAATAATATTTTAAATTATCAAGAGAGTATTTAACATTGTAATGGTGCAAGTTCAACAATAATGACTAACCTATTTTGCATGATACCAATGTCAGTACTCAGAACCACTCCATTTAACTTACCATTTCAAAGCCAAATCTTAGTTTAAGTTTAGGCTTCCAATCAAAGAGGCTGGGGTGACTTATCTGTTGACAATACAGATATACCTACAATTTAAACTGCTCCAAGAACTATGACTATCCCACAAAGAGACTCCTCTACTTCAACTTCTTAGATAGTCGTGAATTGGTAAACTATAAGCAGTCCTGATAATGGTGACTCAGATGTGACTTCTTATAATTTGTAATGGGATGCTGGGTCAGATGGATTGAGTTGGTTTAGTCTTTAAGGACTTTCACCATCATCAATACTATCTACTTATACTGTGACAAGTGGGATCATTATAGGATCAAAGTATAAGTTTAGGCTAAGAGCAAGAAACATTCATGGATGGGGTCCTTATTCTGATCCCGTAGCAATTTACGCAGCAAGAGCTCCTTCAAAAGTTTTATCTGTCTCTACTGAAATAGATAGTGCAACTGGAGGAATAAAGGTTTCATGGCTACCTCCTAATGCCAATGGAGATCCGATAACTCAGTATAAAATTGAAATCGCAAATGTTTTAACTTCATATTGGGGTACCTCCACATACTGTGACGGTACTTCAAATTAAGTACTAACTAATCTATATTGCATATTACCTATGAGCATATTTACAGAAGTGCCTTACTCGTATTTGTATACTAATGTTGTTAAATTCAGGATCTCTGCAGCTAATAGCTATTTATTTGGAGAAACTTCAGACCCTAATACAAGTGGAGCTTAAGTTAGAAGAAAGCCAGATTAAATGACAAAACCAACATAGGGACCCCAAACCTCTGATACCCAAATAGATGTCCAGTGGGCTCCAATGACCACTGGACTCACCACTGGGAATACCCCTATCCTCTCCTACAACCTCTACTGGGATGACGGAACCTCAACAGTTACGATTCCTTTGATAGATGAATTAGTAACGAGCTACATTATTGAAGGGGTTGAAGGTGGTCATGAATACAAGTTTATTGTAAGAGCTAAAAATGTTTATGGCTATGGAAACTTCTCAGAAGAGCTATCTGTTATACCTATTGATTTACCGGATCAAGTTGCCATTCCAACCGTAGAATTAGTAAATAGCATTGAGGTGAAAATTGATTGGGCTAAACCTAATCATCACTACTCTACTATTACGGGGTATTAAGTCCTATTCTTAAAGTCAGATAAAAGCTTTACAGAAATAACTGGTTGTGTAATGATAAGCTCTACTGTTACTGAGTGTACCTTAACAATGGATACTATTAGAAATAGTACCGGTTTGACTGTGAACAAGCTGATTTAGGTCAAAGTAAGAGCGTTGAATGCAAAAGGTTATGGATCATATTCAGAAGTCAACATTGTAGGACAGACTGTTGAAGCAAAGCCAGCAGTTATGAGTCCACCATCAATTGTTACAGGATCAGTCACCACAACTTTAATTCCACTCTCATGGACAGCACCAACAGGAGCAAACGCTGGAGGTACTGGTGTAACAATTGCATCCTATGATCTATAGAAATCAACAGATGGAAGTACCTGGACTGACTTAGCATTAGCAGTCACATCAACTACATACAATCATGTTGTTACTGCTGGAAGTACAATATACTATTACAAAATCAGAGCTACAAATAAATACGGAACTCAAGACACTTATTCAGCTGCTTCAGCATCAGTAGTAGCAAGCTCGATTCCAGAGATTCCAGGCAAACCTACTCTAACTCAAGATGGTACATCAATCAGTATTACCTGGGATTTACCTGAGAATAACTAAGCAACTATCACTGCATACAGAGTAGTTATTGTAACTAATGATGATACAACATTTGCTGAGAACACAACTCTTTGCGATGGAAGTCTGAATGCTGTAGTAACAAGCAGAAAATGTTTAGTGCCCATAAGCTCACTAGCTAACACACCTTTTACTTTGAGCAGTGGCAAGACCATTAAAGCTAAGGTTGCAGCAATCAATTCAAGAGGAGCTTCTCAGTTATCTGTCGAGAGTATTAACACTCCACTTATACTTATGCAGACTGCCCCATTGAAGATGGCTACTCCAACTAGAGAAACAACAAGTACCATTTCAAGAATGGATGTCAAATGGGTAGCATTATCTGCACCAAACAACGGATATAGTGCGATAACATCTTACTTCCTTGAATGGGATTCAGGTACAAACGGTGCCACTTGGACTGATGTGATTGGTAACTCACCAGCATCTCTACTTACAACATACTCAGTCACTGGTGGATCATCAGGTTTCACAGCAGGATAACTATACGGATTCAGAGTCACTGCTAGAAACATATTCGGATGGGGACCTACAAGTGATCCAGCATATGTTAAGGCTGCTCAAGCACCATCCACAGTTCCCACAGTAACAACATCAATTGACCCTGCTACTGGAGGAGTACAGATTGTTTGGGGAACACCTAATGCCAATGGAGGAACGATATCAAAATACAAGATTGAAATCAACAACTATGTCACTACAACATCATGGACAGTATCAAGTTCATGCGATGGAACAAGCGCAATAGTTAAGAGTGCATAGTCATGCATTATACCAATGTCAGAACTTACCACAACATACTAATATGCCTTCGATAAATTGGTTCTTGTGAGAGTCTCAAGTACAAATGAATTTGGAGATAGTACATCAATCACAAATCTAGGTACTGCAAGAACAAGAAGTGCACCAGATATAATGGCCGCTCCATCCATTACATCATCCAGTGATACACAGATCATTGTATCTTGGACTGCTCTAACTGGTGATGCTACAGGTAATTCACCAACCACTGCATATACACTATACTGGAACAAAGGTACAGATGCCAATCCAACCACCAAAGTTACAGAGGCTCTTGTACTTACATATACATTCAGTTCTCTATCTGGCGGAAGTACTTATAAGTTCGCAGTGAGAGCTATTAACATCTACGGAGAAGGACCAACTTCAACAACTACTACAGTGCTTGCAATTGATAAACCTGCTAAGATGGATATTCCAACTGTAGAACTCTCAACTACTGATAACCTAAGAGTTGATATAACATGGGCACCTCCAGTATCACACTCATCTGATATCATCTCATACGATGTTCAGTTCCTTAAGTCCAATAATGACTTCACACCATTTACTGCATAATGTCCTGGAACTGATCCATTAGTATACACATGCTCTGTTAACATGACCAATCTCAACACACTAATTGGATAACCAGTTGACACAATGATCAGAGTCAAAGTAAGAGCGTTGAATGCAAAAGGTTATGGATCATATTCAGAAGTCAACATTGTAGGACAGACTGTTGAAGCAAAGCCAGCAGTTATGAGTCCACCATCAATTGTTACAGGATCAGTCACCACAACTTTAATTCCACTCTCATGGACAGCACCAACAGGAGCAAACGCTGGAGGTACTGGTGTAACAATTGCATCCTATGATCTATAGAAATCAACAGATGGAAGTACCTGGACTGACTTAGCATTAGCAGTCACATCAACTACATACAATCATGTTGTTACTGCTGGAAGTACAATATACTATTACAAAATCAGAGCTACAAATAAATACGGAACTCAAGACACTTATTCAGCTGCTTCAGCATCAGTAGTAGCAAGCTCGATTCCAGAGATTCCAGGCAAACCTACTCTAACTCAAGATGGTACATCAATCAGTATTACCTGGGATTTACCTGAGAATAACTAAGCAACTATCACTGCATACAGAGTAGTTATTGTAACTAATGATGATACAACATTTGCTGAGAACACAACTCTTTGCGATGGAAGTCTGAATGCTGTAGTAACAAGCAGAAAATGTTTAGTGCCCATAAGCTCACTAGCTAACACACCTTTTACTTTGAGCAGTGGCAAGACCATTAAAGCTAAGGTTGCAGCAATCAATTCAAGAGGAGCTTCTCAGTTATCTGTCGAGAGTATTAACACTCCACTTATACTTATGCAGACTGCCCCATTGAAGATGGCTACTCCAACTAGAGAAACAACAAGTACCATTTCAAGAATGGATGTCAAATGGGTAGCATTATCTGCACCAAACAACGGATATAGTGCGATAACATCTTACTTCCTTGAATGGGATTCAGGTACAAACGGTGCCACTTGGACTGATGTGATTGGTAACTCACCAGCATCTCTACTTACAACATACTCAGTCACTGGTGGATCATCAGGTTTCACAGCAGGATAACTATACGGATTCAGAGTCACTGCTAGAAACATATTCGGATGGGGACCTACAAGTGATCCAGCATATGTTAAGGCTGCTCAAGCACCATCCACAGTTCCCACAGTAACAACATCAATTGACCCTGCTACTGGAGGAGTACAGATTGTTTGGGGAACACCTAATGCCAATGGAGGAACGATATCAAAATACAAGATTGAAATCAACAACTATGTCACTACAACATCATGGACAGTATCAAGTTCATGCGATGGAACAAGCGCAATAGTTAAGAGTGCATAGTCATGCATTATACCAATGTCAGAACTTACCACAACATACTAATATGCCTTCGATAAATTGGTTCTTGTGAGAGTCTCAAGTACAAATGAATTTGGAGATAGTACATCAATCACAAATCTAGGTACTGCAAGAACAAGAAGTGCACCAGATATAATGGCCGCTCCATCCATTACATCATCCAGTGATACACAGATCATTGTATCTTGGACTGCTCTAACTGGTGATGCTACAGGTAATTCACCAACCACTGCATATACACTATACTGGAACAAAGGTACAGATGCCAATCCAACCACCAAAGTTACAGAGGCTCTTGTACTTACATATACATTCAGTTCTCTATCTGGCGGAAGTACTTATAAGTTCGCAGTGAGAGCTATTAACATCTACGGAGAAGGACCAACTTCAACAACTACTACAGTGCTTGCAATTGATAAACCTGCTAAGATGGATATTCCAACTGTAGAACTCTCAACTACTGATAACCTAAGAGTTGATATAACATGGGCACCTCCAGTATCACACTCATCTGATATCATCTCATACGATGTTCAGTTCCTTAAGTCCAATAATGACTTCACACCATTTACTGCATAATGTCCTGGAACTGATCCATTAGTATACACATGCTCTGTTAACATGACCAATCTCAACACACTAATTGGATAACCAGTTGACACAATGATCAGAGTCAAAGTAAGAGCCTTGAATGCAAAAGGTTATGGAGAATACTCTGAATTATCCATTACTGGTGCTACTGTTGAAACACCACCTGCTTAAATGGGTGCAATATCTAAGGATGATGGTTTATCATCTAGTACTGTACTTTATCTTACTTGGAATGCCCTAACATCTAATAGTGATAAAGGAGGTAGTGGAGTGAGTATAGTTAACTATGATTTATGGTGGGATTAAGGATCATTAATAAATACTTGGGTTCAATTGGCTTTAACAACAAATAGTTATTACTAAGTTAATGATCTTGAACCAGCTACGACTTATTAATATTATATAAGTGCAATTAACAAATATGGTAACGGTTAAAATTCTCCTACTGCTACTTTCACTACTTCTTCATCTTGAACGACTACAAATCAAACCTATCAAACTTAAAACTAAGAATTAAGACAATGAGAAACCTTATTGTACAGAGCTAAATAGAGAAGGGATCTCAGTTATGAAAATCAAGGATTCAAGAATCGTTTGGAATGATGAAAGAAAACATGTAACTGTCTTAATCTTAGAATATATAATTAAATTTTTAACATATTTCTCAAAATCTTTACAAATTTGTCATATGGGGTTTTGGGGTTTTGGGG